TTTAATAGCTAACAGGAGATCCTCTCATATATAAGGATCAAGTAACCTTGACCTGGCACTTGTACAGAGCTGAAAGACATGATCTGTGCCCTAGAAAGCTTACAATAAAAACAAATTCACAAATTCTAGTGTTAAATCATATTTAGTCTAGGTAACTTCTTATTTACAGATATTCAAAATTTCATACTGATATGATAAAGTCCTTTCAGCCATAGCAGAATCGTTCTTTCCACATACAGTCTATTAACTGCTATTGCCCTGGACTTTCATTACTCTCTTTGTAAATCTCACACAATCAAATAAATCAAATAGATAGTCCCTGCCAGAAACTCTTGTCAAGTTTAGCCTAAACTTTGAATTTAGTTAAATTAAGAATTACAAAGACAAATTCTACTGCCTAATTGTCCAGGTCACTTTCTATAATGAAAGGAATAAAAGTACTACATTAAGAATAATATATAAAATTCCTCTGCTCTGATGAATGTAAAAGCAGCCAAAGAAAAATACACTGGTGACTGCCTCAAATAAGCCTACCTTCCAGTTAATAGATCCATCATTGACTACTTGCATGAGTTAAAGGCCATCCATTTCAGTAAGCACTGAAGAATCTGTCCCTGTATCTCCTTCCACTTTCTAATGACCAGGAACCAGGTGCAGATTGGAGGATTCTCCATATATGTCTCTGCCTAAGATTAGAATAAATATGGTGTTACTGCACCACTCTCCAGACCTAATGCATACCTAAATTGTGACTTATGCAAGCCTGTAAAACCCTCCATTAAGATTCTTGTAATTTGTAAAGTCACACCTGGAAATAATCAAAGCTCCAAACATACAATGCATAGACATGTATTATATGATAGAGTAACACAAACTCTATGTACAGTTTTCATCAAAAGAAAGGCTATTTACGCTATTTCAATCCCAACACATTTAGGTGTCAAAAATATGCATATATGAAATATCTAATTCCATGGTGGCTACAGCTGGATTGGAAAACTGGATGCCATCTTAATTGCTTTGGGTAAACAGTATATCAGTGCAGGCAATACTGTAACTACGTGCAAAATAGATATAACAAGAAGAATGGACCTATGTTGAAAGAAGTATTTGCACCTGAGCAAACCTTAGCTGAGAAAACAGATGGAAAAAGAGTAATCCATACTGTAACTCAGCAAAGCACTTGAAGCTGATGTAGCTTGTTTGTCTTTGGTCCTGCAAATGAGAGAGAGTCTGAAGAAAAGGGCAGTAGGGAATTTCATTTGGAGCTCAGACTGTAGAAGCTCTTTTAGAGACAAGAATTGCAGAACTTGCAGTATAAACAAAGGCACTTTCCTGTGTAATGGAAATCTCTCTTAATTCTGCCAAGAACAGTCTCTTCCTTTTCCCCACCAGGGAATTTGATAGTCGCTCTGTGTCATTAACATCTCTACAAGACACCCATAATGGCAAAGCGATACAGAGAAAAAAGTAGAACATCTGTTCACTATGCCTTTCACTTCTGTCTCAAACAAACATCTTTCTAAGGACATCAACAATCATAATTTTATTATGTTTTAATGCCTTCCTCATCAAATTTCATTCCACTGTCTGTCCCATCTGAGGTGTATTGTGCAATAACATTATAAGTTCTTTCTAATCCTGCTGTTATTTCAACCCAAAATTGACTTATTATGGTTCTCTGGTGTTGACAAGTATAATATTTCCCATTCTACACTTGCACTGGTACCAAAAGCTCTATCTCTAGCTTACTTTATATTCTGTTATTTCAGAATATAATCTGAATCTACTCAGGCCTCAAGAATATCAGTTTTTCTTATCTTCTGCAACAAAAACTCTATTTCCTTAACTTTTAAACTACATTATTTTAAGGATTTTTCTTGCACATTTGCAGTAGCCAGTAAAAAAGAGCAAACATCGAAAAGATTCATCTTACTAAAGAGAGAGATGATGTCATATATGGGGTCTTCCATCAGTGTGATGTTAATTCAGAGAAACATTTCTGTTCAGAACAGTGCATCTGACACACGTTGAACATTAAGTGTATGCTTAAGCCTCACTGAAGAGGAAATAGATGGGTCATCATAGACTGAGATGTTTCAGAGCAATCAAAGAGAAAACTGGCTAACAGAAAATATTATGGTAGATAATCTTCAATGCATCACATAATGCATACCTAAAATAATAAAAGTTGAATTAATCCATACTTGTGCTTTCTCACACCAATGCAAGAAACAGATGGGATAATGTGGATCACCTACAAAGACTTCAGTGGCTCTAAGGCAAACAAGATAGCATAATTTATAAAGAATAAGACAGAAAAGAAAGAAAAGAAAGAAAACATTCCATAAACCAACAGTTTGCCATTATCTAGAACAGCTGCGGCCACCATAATTCCAGAGAAGACATGACAGATGAAATAACAATTTTTACAGAGAAAAAAAACAGGAGATGCTCCTATTTCATTTCCCCAAAAAATCAGATGAATATCCAATGATGTTGAAAGACAGTAAAATTGAACAGATAGAATTAAAAGCAGGTTAATCATGAAAGGGAAAAATTAACCTGCTATTCTATCAGATATTTACTATCTGATATAGATTATTTACTATACAGACATAGATTATTTATTATCAGATATTACTGAGATGAGTAATATAACACAAGAAAAAATTGTCTGAAAATTAGAGTATCTGAATATGAGAGAGAACTTGAAATACTATAAAGCAGAAAAATCCTCATTTACTGGGTCACGACTCAACTAGCATGTGTATTAAGAAAAAAATTCTCACGTAGACAAATTATTCTATCAAATCATTGAGTTTTCATGCATCTGTTTCAAAAGGATTTACTTTTGCCCATGGCAAGATTTAATTTCATGAATTTGATCAAATAGCAAACTTCCGGTATAATTATCTGCACTTTTAAATTAGTATTTAAACAACAATTTACATCTTTTCTTGTGTGGCATCACATAGTATGTGTAGCATCATATATTTCTGGGGAATATTGAAAGTTAAATGAAGTCATGACATGCTATAATGTTATGGTGCCACCTTGTGACGGTGCATCAGTGGTGCCTAAAACATGTATCAAGAGACAAAAATTAGCCTGGGGAAAGTCTGTTTCTATATGGTTGTTAGAAACTGCAAGCGATTGTCTGCTGACAAAGAGAAGCATGTGTTTATCAGCTAACAAAAGAACATTCAGCATTTTAAGATTACATTAAAAGAGCATAAGAGAGGACAAACAACTGCAGCAAAAAAACAACTACTTTCCCCAACACAGATCCAATTACAGATATACGAGTTAATTCCACTGAAGTCAGCAGGATTACTGAAGATAAATACGGAAGTAATGAAGACCAGATTTAGGCCTACAGGCTGTTATTGTGAATCCTGTGTTACAGTATTCCCTTAAAACAATGTTAAATGAAAAAATGTTAATAAACATCTTGGTTACTACTTGCTTTTTGACACTGTTTTTCATTCACAGGTACCAGTCCCTTTTTGTCTCTAACATTCTTTTAGTGTCTGTAAGCCAGAGATAACACACACTCACTTAGCTATTTTGCTAGAAGCTTTATATAATATTTTTCCTTTTTCTCTGTCCCTTTTTGATGGCAAATATAGAAATGTTCAAACACGTGCAAGATCTTTTTTGCAGTAATAAATGTCTATACTCTTGCTTTTAAGACCAAAGTCGAATGGTTTTTAAATCTAAATCTCTTCTACTGTTTCAGCTTCTAAATTGCCTGATAGTTCCTTTCCAATAAGTAAGCCTGATTAAACAAACATTAGTGAATTAACAAGATCCTGCCAATAACGTTATAGCAGAAACAGACAGCTGGCTGTTATTTTACCTCATAATATTATCTACATTTGGAAAACATCATGCTGCACTCAATTCACCAAACACTTGCCATAACAGAAGTTTCAGTGGTAAGAAATCTAACTACAGACAACTAAGAAATTGCAAATATATAGCTTACTTGGAAATCTACCCTTGACTTTTTGCCATCATACGGTATTATAACTTACATACTATTAAGTAGGATTATTTTGCACTAGATGCATTTAGAGTATGTATGTCTCCCAGACTCCAACAACATACTACACTGCTAAGGTTTTCATTAGAGGAGATGAATATTGGTCAAAGAAATAGAGTGAGTTAGGATGACCGTATAAATCTCATCCTTTTTGTTCAAATAATCTGACACAGAATCTTGCAACCTGGTCTTTTACAATACATTAATAGTAACCAGAAAAAATTTGTGTCTTGAAAGAAATAAACTACCTCGTTGATATTTCAATGAATAGAAAGTATTTTTAACACGTTCTCTCTTAATGCCTATGTTGTCCAAACTGCTTGAATTCAGCAATACATCTGACTTAACCTGCTTAAAATGAAAATGATTGAGGCTTGAACCTCTGCTCACTCATTCAGAACTGATATCAGGAACTGATTTATATATTAACTTTAACTTGGGCAAATAAGTCAAAGAAAATGCAGGCACTAATTCCTTTAACCAAACAGAAACCAACAGGAGGATGAACTAAAATAAACATATCACTGATAAAAAATACAGTCACTTTGATAATTACAAAAAAGTTAAAAAATAATTGTTATTTCCAACATATATATTTCACTTTCATTATGCTATCTTAGGGAACAGTCAGTCTTGATCCCTTGAATATACAAAATTTCCACTGACACGCTTCATGTACAACTGTATTCCTGGACAAATATTCCTTCCTGATGCATGCTCTGTAGATTTGAACAGCAAGCTACACTGCAAGCTTACCATACTTTAGAGGTTCCAGAGTAGATAAACATCATCATCCCTACAGAAATGGTAAAAGATTAATTTCTCTGCTTTAACAAGTATTTCAATAAGGGTAACACTGTTCAGCCTTTGAAAGATTTAACATTATAGTAACTGGAATAATGACCAGAAAGGAAATTAACACAAGCTCAGCACAAAAATTCTCAGAGCAAGATAAAATCCATCAAAAGTTTTAATTGTGATGACTTTGATACAGAAGCCATGTAAGTGACAGAGCCCTTCTATTGACTGTTAGAACAGTAATACATATATGATTGTCTTCAGGCCCCAGTACCTAATCAATACTGGAATTAAAAACAAAAAGATGCAGCTGTTTTCCAGCTGGAGAGGGAAGAGAAATACAGAGCTGCATTCATGCATTTTATGGGAAAGATTGCATAGCTGATTTAGAAAGGAAAGGTCTTTTTATGTCCTTAGTAGTAGTGCTGTGCTTCTTTAATTTCTTCATGGGTTATAGATGATCATATTCTTCCATCCAACTTTATCAGCCCAGAGTATGAGAAAAAGGCAAGACCTCCTTTGAAAGTAGGGACACAGTTTAAAGTTTCTTAGGAAAGAATGAATCATGTATGCGAATCATATACAAAAGGCAACTACTTCAAGTTTCATAAGGACATGACACTCCATAAAGTATTGGTTGAAGGTAAGCACCAAACCCAGCAACTGCCATTTCACTGACTGAAAAGCAAACCTGGGATGTGGTTGTCTTCAACACTGGGAACTTGATCTTGACTGCAGTTCTTTCACCTAAGATTATTTCCATGCAAGATCCCCAGCTGTATAACACAGTGATAGAGGCATCTCATTATTTAAGGCCCTTGCTTTCTTTCGAAATCTGTTGGAAAAAGTCACCAAAGCTAAACTTTCTGTCAATTCTTTTTTTTTTTTTTTTTTTTTTTGCTTTTAAGAGTAGTATTAAGTATTCATAAATGTAAAAACCATGTGGAAATACCTTTAATAATATTCTGGTTCTGCCTGTGGAAAAAATAACCCCACAACCCAAGAACCAACCATCTTTGCCATAGTGCTTGGGCAGCAGTGGAGCTAAAAACATCACTGTTCCAAATGTCTCGCAGATCAAATGATGTTTCTGACTCTTGACGGACTAGAATTATTTCAGTATTTTTTGCTGAGTTCTAAGAAGCCATGATAGAGGACAAGAGCCTCCAAAGTGCCTGAGATTCAGAAAGGCTGGACTGGCAAGTCGTTTCTGATAACACTGGCTCACAGAAACATCTTCAGATTCTTATGTGGAAAGTACTGCAAAGGAAAAAAAGATTAAGAGATAAAAATACACTCATCATTATGCACAATATTCTCCTTATAGCATACAAAGAAAGGTTCTGGGTAATGAACCAGAATTTCTGTTCTATGTTGTCCTTTATCCCAGTAAGAATGTTTCAGAAAAAGGTGAAAAAACCTGAAGCATATTTTCATCAGAATGATGTAGGGATGAACAGTGGCTCTTTTTAAAATATATTTCTCATTTTGAAAGTTTTTACTTAACAAAGAAGCAAACCTAACACTTAAAATTGTGGATTTACTATAAAGCTTCTGATCTGTCAGAAGAGAAAAATATTTTCAACTTATAATCATACTACGTTTTTGGTAAAAACATTGATAAATTGATAATAAAACCACTCCATTACTTTTGAAATCCAGTCATGTCATTTCACCCGCAAAAATCCTGCAGTAGATAGTTCCTTGTTCTAGTTTCAGAGTGTGTCAGAAGGGCAATTCTTCACATAAAGTTACACCTTCACATGAAGTTACTTTCAGAAGACTGAACTACTCCAAATGCAAGGATTCCTAATGTTAAGGGATAGGCAGGTCCCCTCAAGAAGGAGGCCAGTTAATCCTCAGGCCTGCACCCAACATGGAGAGTTGTATGGCAGAGTTTCATTTGGAACTTATTACTGTTTTGATGGATCTCTGCTTGGTTTGTGACTGGGATATTCTCTCAGTGTTTCTTCTAAACACTGGCGATATGATATTTACTTAATAATAACACCAAGAAAACTCTAAAAAAGTGGTTAAGGCCAGCACTTGCTCCAGCTATATGTCCAGGTTCCTAGCAGTAAGGCTCCTCAGGTCAGGCATAGGCAGAGCATGAACAGAACCAGCGAGTGTACTCCTAAACTTGGACTTCATGTAGAACAACTGTACTAATTGTGATTGAATAATCCAGTAAGGTTTTTCTCAATCCTCCACAGGTTAATTCCCCTGCTTAAACGATGCGTCAAATGCCAATATCTGAAAAAACAGTGAAGCTACTTTGAAAGAAGTGTGCTATGATTTAAAAAAGGCTTTCAGAATATTATTGCAAGTCACTATTCTGGAAGTGTGACTTTTTATTTTTTATTGAAGACCTTACAGTAACTGTTCAGTCAAAGACGTTGGTGTTGCAAGAAGAAAAGGATGCATCTACTAGTAGTCTTGTGGTTTCCCTACCTTTTGTTAGAATGATCAGCAGATACAGGATGGTGATACCAACTTAAAAATACAACTAAAGTAACTTTCTGGTCTTTTAGCACAAAAGTAGCGTATCTGCACTTTCACAAAAAAAGTAGTGATTTAGGACTTCATTTTTCAGAGTGTCTTTATATTTTATCAAAATTGAGTTCCTAGTGTTCCTGCAATGCACAATCCCTAGGTGTAAACTACTGGACTGTGAATTAGAAATTATAATTAAAAGGACTTCAATTTTGATTACACATTGAGATGTATATCCATATACATACATGGGTGGCAAGGCTGGTTAAGTCAGAATGCTTCCTTGCAAAAAGGAAGATTGCATTATAGACCGGTATAAGTGCACAAATTCAGAGTCATTTTAAGACCAATAATATTTCTTTCATACAAAATAATTTATTCCACAACATGATAATGAGATATTGATAACAGCATATGTAAAAATGCAATTTAGCAGAGGAAAGAGGGTCTCAAGCAAAGATCTGGTTTGATGAATTCAGATCACAAATTGGTAAATGGCTTCAGTCTTTACACTGAGCTAAACCTAGACACCAGGAATGGATACTGAGCCTTGAATCCTTCTTTAATAGAATATAAACAAGAAGAACAGTTACTCCTTTTTTAGTTTGTATCATAGCAGGTAGAATATAGATAAACCACTGACATTGAAAATTCTGAATGATCTCAGGTCTCACATCCTTAAAGACAGTTAAAAACCATGGTTGGACAGTGCATTTATGATTACTAGTCATCTGCAGAGCAAATGCAGATCTTGCTAATTTTTCACTAGGTTTAATTTTAGTCCTTAGGAACTAGATAATCTGCATTTTGGGACAGGTCTTACAGGATGCATGTTTCCCATGACATAGCTTCTATTACTTCAGCTTCAGGTAGGACTGCAATCCAGATGTCAACTGTTCTGTGGGTGAAGGCCCATGAAGGTTTCAGGAACAGTGCACCCCCAGTGATGACAGCTTTTTGTTTAATCAATTGTTTCCCCATCTAGTTTTGGCAGCTTCCAGGTGTTACTAATGACATTTTCTTCTCAAATTCCACTTCAAGTTGTTACAGTATGCTTCACCCTCAGGCCTTCAAATAAACTTACACTTCCAGGATGATTTATAAAACAATTTCCTGTGGAAAACATAACCAGTCTTGTAGAACAGAACACTTAGCTAGTGCCAGTTCAGAGTGCTAATGTTTCTATTAAACTTCAAGTAGCTTCTTAACGATAAGAATTTTGAGTGAAATAAGCCTCGTGTGATCAAATTTTCTGAACTAGCAACTGTCACTCTCGTTTACAGCTTACTGAAACTTCTGGGATAACAGTCAACAATGTGTATATCTTCAGCCCTGATCAACAATTAGCAGAATTTTCTTTTGGTCTTTTAAAAAAAAAAAAAAAACAAAAAAAAACCTCAACAGCAGCAGCGCAAATTGAGGAACAGACTTCACTGCATCTTCATTTGTTTGACAGAAGTACAAAGCTTGCAAAGGCTGTCTGTAGAAGATTAAGCCTACACAGGATCATTAAATAAAGGTTTGAGAAACAAATGATGAGATAGAAAAAAATCACTCAAAGTGCAGTAGATGAACTTCTTAAACTTCAAGTAGCTTCTTAACGATAAGAATTTTGAGTGAAATAAGCCTCGTGTGATCAAATTTTCTGAACTAGCAACTGTCACTCTCGTTTACAGCTTACTGAAACTTCTGGGATAACAGTCAACAATGTGTATATCTTCAGCCCTGATCAACAATTAGCAGAATTTTCTTTTGGTCTTTTAAAAAAAAAAAAAAAACAAAAAAAAACCTCAACAGCAGCAGCGCAAATTGAGGAACAGACTTCACTGCATCTTCATTTGTTTGACAGAAGTACAAAGCTTGCAAAGGCTGTCTGTAGAAGATTAAGCCTACACAGGATCATTAAATAAAGGTTTGAGAAACAAATGATGAGATAAGAAAAAAATCACTCAAAGTGCAGTAGATGAACTTCAGCTCATACTAGGTCAAAGCCTGGATCATCGTGCCAAAATGAATGCCTGCTGTATGTACTAAGTATGCATAATAGCATGCCAGCTTATAAAAGCACATATTGAGCTTATGTAGCAAGTGCTTCAAAAAAGGAATATACATTGTTATAGCACTGTGTCCTTCAAAGGTAAAGTAAATATGCCTCCTTAGTAATTTTAACAATAACGAGATTTTATAGCTGTACAGTTCCTACAATAAAAGTTCTCAAGCGTTTGTCAGAAGTCAGGGGAGCACCATTCCCACGTTACAGAGCAAAGGGAGGGCGAAATGTTATATGGCTTATCAGAGATCACCTGCTGAAGCAATGGCAGAGCCAGGGATAAAACTGAAGTGCCTTGTATCCTAAGCTTCCTACCTACTCTTACGACTTGAAGTGGCTTTTGGTGGCGCGAAAGGCTAAAGAACACAATGAGAAAACCTTTATGGCCAATAAGGCAGCTGAGGTATGTAAACTAGTCAACATTTCAAAAGGATCAGATACTAGGTCCCAGTGTGGTATTCTAGAATAAGATATTCAGAAACGTTGATTGCCCGTAGCTTCAAGACAAAGTCTCTGAAAACTACAGCTGCCCAGTATGTTTGATTGCTCATTGGCAATCATTCTCAAAAGTATCCACTGCTATTGTTCCTTGATGTCTGACTTTCAGACCTGCCAAGCATCTGAAAACTTAGGCATTCTTGAAATTAAAATTTGGAATGCATCTAGCCGGCTACAAAAAGTGGAGATATACAAAACTAAATGAAATTATGGCTGTATCTGGACATTGAGGGGTAGGTATTTCTTTCATGCATCTGCTCAAGATTCCAAAAAGGACAATTTTACTGACATGAAAATATGCTTTCATATCTTTTTACATATTAAGATACTTCAGTTTATCACTGGCATATAGGGGTCTTGACCCACTGTTAGGACACTCACTTCCTGTGGTTTGCATGTTCTGTATTATAGTACATGGTAAAACTGCACAGCCTAGCTTGAATACAGTTGCATCCAGCCTATGGTTAAGGCTTAAGAGGGCCATTACAGCTGAAGACATAGAAGTAAGAGAACCAATGGCTGTACATGGAGCTGGAGATAAAGTCAAGATAAAAGGAAACATTGCTTCATCAAATGAATAGTTAATGTGGCCAAGACTGCTATGATATACCTGAAACCAATCAATAAGCAACTGGATTTTAAGTTAGGAAAATGAAGGCAATACTTAGGTGAAATTACTCTCTCTCTTGTACTTCAGCATTACATATAGGAGCCACTTGGCATTTGTAGATGCAACTTTAACACAATGATTTCTAATGGTAACTTGTAAAAGATTTTAGCATTTGATTATAACTTTAGAACTCAGTTTGAGCAAAGGACTGTATACAACTGCCCCACTCCACAAACAAGACAGGGTCCGAAGTTCCCTAGCCACCAGCAATTCAGATGTACTAGGAAAGAAGCTAAAGGGCTGAATACTGGCTGCATTTACCCTCCAAACTAGCCAGGTGTACTCTGTAGGAGGAAGAACAGCAGCAAAGCCTCTGTAGAAGACACTCACTATGTTGCTCACAGCTGACTTGTGAATGATCAAAAACGACATGGTGAGAGATCAGCTAGAGTAACTAAAAACTTGTCCCAAACTGTCACATACTGGCAGGCATTAGCTTTGATTCTGAGAGAACTACCAGAGAGCACTGATCTAGTTCAGTGCCCAGTACGTCCTTGGTGTACCTGTTGTGGCATTAAGATTCAACAGATCCTATTCCAAACGTTAAATCATTATTTCCTTTTAAAATGCAGCATTTGCATGGTATCTCAAAAAGGAGAATAAATGGCTCAGACTATGAGAGGACACCCTACGATGCAGAGCATTTAGCAAGAATACGATTAAGAATACTCTTAACAAATACCTTTACAGAGAAAAGGAACAATAAAAAGCAATAGGGGAGATGCATCAAGTCTTCCATACAAGCTGGTTTGGATAAAAGTAGTCTCATGACCTTGTCATGTTCCTTTCCTGCAGCTGTTAATTCTGGTTGAAGGAAAAAACAAGTTGCAGAAAGCACACATTCTTTTCTCAGCTCTCAGACTTTTGGCATTTACACCCTCATTTTAAAATATAGCTTTCAAGGTTAAAAAACACGTTGCTGGGTTGAACAGTCAGAAGCTCTAAACCAGTGTTTCAGCTAGAAGGTGGAAGAAAACCCTTCTTTAGATCATGTCTCATCTGGAGCTCTTAAGCCTGAGGACTTCAGAGTCAAAGCCTGTGGCCCAACTAATCAAGACCCAGAAAAGAGAGAGATGCCATCATTTGCCCTGAAGTCAGAGATGGAAAGAGTCTGCCTTAAATATACACATCATTCCCTTGTACATTAAGGGGATATCTCGATAACACAAGTTTACCATGCCACAGGCAGGGATCAAAGTATATCAGGTTAAGCCAAGTAACTGGACGATCAGTCTTCTAATATTTGTAGCCTATTTCTTTGAGGAATCAGTACTGTCAGTGATCCCTCCCTGTTTTCTCTTTACCTAATCTATAACAAACTGTTTACCTTTCATGTCATCCCTCTACCTACTCATCTTCTTGTCCTGTTGCATACCAAGCACTTCAGGTCTTTCCGCTTGTTAGTTCCTCAGCTTCCCAAAACAGCACAAGCTCAGAAAAGAAAAATAATTACGGCAGTTGTTCCAGTGGCTGCCGTGGCGAATATTCCCCTCTGCTACTTTCTCAGGAAATGATTGAATTACATAGCAGCTTCAGCTTGGAGTTCTCAGTCAGCAGTTTGTGAGCCTCTGCAGCACAGCAGTAAAGTCAGTCATAGCACCGGCAACCTTTGAAACTACAGCTTATGCTGAGTCTTCAGGGCTGTCTTCGATTCTTCACACTTGATCTGTGCTCTCTGCAAGATTTGTAGGCACAGTGCAGCCTTCACCTTGATTAAAGGAAACTCTACTGACCGCAGCAGCTTCTATATGGAGAATGATATAAAGAAAATATTTTTCTACCTAGAAATATATGTAAATCAAAAATTAGAGTACCTACTCAGTCGAGCCTCTCCATAATGACAATACGCACTTTGTTCCAAATGGGCTAGAGTTAATACACTCGACAAGGCAAGGAACGCCTGATATGCTTCTAACATATAAAAAACATTCATATTAACTCTATAGCATCTCTTCTTGAGTTGATTCTTAGTCAACAAGACTCTTCAGCTGATGCTTCCCAGGGTTCACAGGAAGCAGATCCCCACATTTTATTAGTGGAATCATTCTGTTACAATATGACTTTCCTCAGAGATTTCATTTATTGAAGAAATAACATGAAACTGCTCTGTGTTCTGCAGGACCCTTAAAAGCTGTAAATTACCATTAGCATTAAGATTAGCAGTACAAATTTTGATCTATCTTAATTGTACCTTAATTTTAGCCTTATTTCCTATGGAAATAAAATTTATTCAATCACTCTGAATTTTTAATCCTCTTTCCCAGTAACTTCTGAATCGTTTGGAAGAGTACAACAACATTTGACTGAAAGATAATTAAGTTTCTACATGTTTCATGCAGCTGTGTAAAGAGGAGAGTCTAAGTATTCCATCTGACAGAAAGGCTACAAAGTATTTCCACACCTCATCAGACACCAGAAAACCTACACAGGTAAGATAAGACTAGTGCTATAACTGCAACAAAACTTGAATTAAAATTCCTTCTTAGGTTTCAGCCAGCTAATCAAGAGACACAAATCTACAGAAACTAGAATCTATTTCCAAACATGCCTCCTGAAACAACTTGTTATCATACTGTACACCTGCTTGCAGTCCCAACAATTCTTGCATTATTCATCTTCCCAGACGTTAGAACTTGTCTGTTATTATCAATTATCACTAGACAAACTGCAACACTACCAACTTTAAAACCAAGTGTATGAATAAAGATTTTGGGGGGGCGGGGGGAGGGACAGTTAGCAAAAGGCATTTACTATTAGATATACATGACCCAGACTACAGAATTCAGCAAGTCTGGGGAGAAGTCAGATCCAGGTTTTAGTTTCAGCCTGTTCTCCCAGTGGATTCTGGATTCAAATGTGAGCTCCCAGTCTGGGACTATCTTTCTTTGTTGGCTGGTTTAGTGTAATTTCTTAAAGAGGATCTATCCTTGTATTACATAAGTCACAGTCTGAACTATAAGTTTTTGTAGAATATTTTATTAACGTGTAAAAATGAAAATCTGTGTCGGTTTTAAAAGGTCTTTTAAAATATGAAACACGTAAGAAAAATTCTGCCTTAAGATAACTGGGTTTTGTGTTGAGAGGATTAGGAAGAAACTCAGCAATAAAAATCAAAAGAAATCATTTACTAAAAATGAAAAAAAAACAAACTAGATTAACTGCCAATCCAAGAAAGATTGCAGTAATTATTTTAATTGATATTCTGCTACTGGCATGAACCATACTGCTGAAATGGCCTCTAAATTTCGCCTTTCAGGACAAATGATCAATGTACTTCCATGTGTATTTGTAAGATCTATGCAATATTTTAGGCAAATTCAAATAATCCATGTAACCTTTGCTAATAAAGTTATATTCACTATATTAGATATTTTCCATTAAGGGGAGAAAAAAGGAACTTAAATCTGCCATGACACTGAACATCTGAAATCTTGCAAAAAAAATCCCAAAGCATAGGACAGGTCCCTTGTCAGATAGCACAGATCCTTGCTAAAGGCTGCAGAATAATATAATTTTGAGCTTCTAGTAGATGAAAAAATTTCCTAAAGAAATCACACAGGTAGGGGAGATGATTAAAAGTCACTGAGCTCTTAATCTTCAAATTAGGAGACAACTGGAACACACTCTAGAAAAGTAAATTGAGTCAGGGTAAGAAATCATCCTCTAGTTCTCTGGGTTATGTACTTATGTCAGCTGCTTCTTATATTACAGTACACACAGTGGATATCCTAAAACAATACCTGAAAAATACGCAAACAGAGAATCTTTTAAAGATAAATTCTTATACCTGAGAAAGTCCGGTGCTTTGGAAATCATGTTTTCAAAATCTGCAAATCCTAATTTCCCATCACCATCCATATCAGCTTCTTCTATCACTTTCTCACAAACTAGCGTGATTTCTTCTGCTGTTAGCTCTTCTCGGGTCAGCTTATTGAGGGTTTTTTCCAGGTCTGATTTACAAATGAAGTTATCTGTGTTAAAATCTAAACAGTAAAACAACCAATGAAAAGATCACCAACAACTCGGATGCGTTTATTTCAAACAAAATGGTGCACAAAAGAGTAGTTAACAAGCCCCATTAACTTTTGACCTTATTCCCTGAAATCTTAGGAACAATAGTAACACTGTTCACCCTTTCTATAGCATTTGCTTTTCCACAGCAGGATGCAAGCAAAGCTTGGATTTAACTTCAGAGAAATTCTAATTTTAACCAGAGATAGAGCATTTCCTCTGAAGTTCAAATTGCTTGGTCAACATCTGCATTCTCTAGAAGCACTTCGCATTGAATTTTTCTGGCAAATTAAAATATTGATGACAAATATTATAACATTTGCTTAGATCCCACAAGACAGGGCAGCTCAGTAAAAAGCCTAGGAAACGTGCAAATCATAAGACAACATACTTTCTTAGATATCAGTATTAGCAAATTCCTTTCTTTGCAGTAAGAAATCAAGAAAAAGTGAAGGCATTTAGTGCTTTGCCAGATTGAGCTTTTGTTTCCCATGATGCTAGAACTTTTGCTAGGTTGCAAAAGGGGATGGAAGGGGAATAAAAAAACAAAAAACAGGATATCCACTCAGAAAGTGTGAATTGCCTCTCTAGCTATACTGTGGACTCACTACAAATATGTATCTTTTAGTTTGTCCTTCTGCCTATATTTGTAGAAGCAACCTCAAAAACTATGTTTAACATGATAGCACTTTGATCACACTCTTCACAGTACAAAGTAAGCTTAAAATTAAACCAGTATCCTGTGGGCTGGACCAGAATGAAGAATTCAGTTCTTAAAGTAAGAAGGGCTCTTCTTTGATTTTCTTTAAAAACGCAGCTGACCATGTAACAAAGCTTCCTCTTATACTAAAGTTAACATAAATTAATAGAGCCATTTAGCTTCTGCATCCCAATACTCTACCATAGATCTTGAAGGCATAGATTGCTTTAAGCTCTCTGGGAGCCATTTCACTGAGCACAGAGAACATGTCCACAAAATCATTGAAGCTGAGGCTCCCTTCTCCATCTTCCGAGAAAGATTCAACAATCCTTTCCTTGAAGGGATTCTCCTGTGAAAAGCAGATTAAGAAGAAAAAAATTTGATTTTTTATGCATTTGGAACATCAATAAAATGGCTGACTCCCTCATCATAATTAAGAACATTTAATTCCCTGGATGGCGCTTTGAAGACAGCCTTTTGAAGGCAACTTCCCTCACTTCCCCCCCCCCCCCCCCAACCCATACATCAAAAATGTGACATTCGTATGCTCTGGCACAAAGCGTGAGTAGCACACGCTGCAGTACAGTACCACTTCTAGCCCAGTTTTTCTCAGCTCTGTTGTTACTCTTCTCTATAAACTGGTGGTGGCCTCGTTTCCTCTGTGTGGAACATGTGCTCCATTAATGTTAGGTTAAAGTTACTATGAGCGTGAAGATCATTTGCATATAACTGGTCCCTGATAGGTTGTCAGACTGACACAGTTAGGAGGATTAGGAGATGTTCTTCTGTACGGTCTTATGAAATATATCACTGTCCATCACGTCCCACACACACCACTGTTGTGTGCCAAATAATTTCTCTGAAGATATCAACCATAATACCATTTTGTAGCATCTCCTTACCACAAGGAGGGCTGTAAGATTGACTCCAGTTTCAGAAGTTCCTTCTCTTGTCACTTGTGAAATACTGTTCTCTGTTTGCCAATAGATAGTTTTGACCCATGTAAACAAGAGAAACGTCATTTCATTAAATGACAGTTAAATATTGGTATCCATATTATTAGTAAGGTTGCTATGCTGACCTCCTCCTCTGGCTTTCACTGTATGGCAGACATTGAAAACTCCACTCTTATGGCAAAAGTGCCTTAACTTGCTGACTCATCACGGCATAATCACCAGCTTAAGCTAAAATTATTATACATAATGCTTACATCTGTTTTTAAAGATATGAGGAGAGGCTGAACAAGGTGATTTGATCCCACACCTGCTATTGATTGATCTGTTACGACTCCAGCTGTAGTTCTTTCTACTCTTCCTTGTTAGAATATTAGTAGAAGTGGAAGAGTTTGTCTTGCCACACAAAGACATGATGCCAAGAAAGTAGACAGTTATAAAAAACAACATAAGAAAGATCATAAGAACATAAGGCAGGCACACTTAACCTTGGCTATTCGTGGAGGACACAGAATCACATTCCAGTAGAATCTTGTAGAGGCTTTTTCATCTTCTCTCTGATATGCTTCAGCATCCAACCTTTGGTTCAATTGACTACAAATCCCACAGCTTTAAGCAAAATTTCTTCTCCACAGGAGACGATCCTGATATTCTATTCTAGCACCCTACAAACCTTTGGTGACAAGGCCACTCTGAATAAGACAATATTCCAAAGCCATAAACGCACAACTTACAAGCACGAGAAAAGCTGCTTTACTGCTTTGGAGTCCAAGACAAACATTTTTATAGTAACAATTTCTTTCCCATAGCTATATACAATAACGATGAATTTGTAGCTGCATCTATCAACCTAACAAAATCAACTCTATTCAGTTGAGTGTGAATAAAAGATACGTGCATTATTCAGACAGTGAGCAGTATCTCACCAAACCTATTCTACAAATCTCATCTGAAGCCACAAACACAGATTAAGACGTTGAACTCCTGTAACTACAACCAGTTTCGGTAGCTGCACATCATACTGGTTATTCTCAATATGCATACAGCGATGCATTTCTCTTTAAACAAAGTAACGCTGTGAAAATTTGCATTTTAATCACATATCCATCTCAGTTCAGCTCTGTCTGGAAATTTAATAAACTAAGTAACACACTAAGTAACACCACCCAATTGTATTAAATAAAATTTAAAATGAGATTTCTTAAAACAACTGTATTTGAGAGGTAAATGGCCACAAAAATGTTATTTTTCAGTTTACTTGAATTTTCTTGATAATCGATACACAGTACACATATTTATCTGTAGACCACAGTATTTTCTGTATACTCCTAGAGGCTAACAAGTACAAGCAGCATGTGCAAAGCAGAGTAACATGAATAGATAGGTTTTTTTATATTTATATAGCATTCTTCATCTTAAAGGAACATAAAGTACCTTACAAGAGTTAGGCCACTTACTACTAATATGCAGCTGCCTTTGAAGTGAAATTCAACAACCGTTTAATGGTGTGCAGCAGCTTACAACAAGAGCTGAAGATACAGACGTCCACCTGAAATCATAGGGGGAACTTGGAAGCATAATGGAACTTGTCACCCACATGGAAATAACACTTCAGATGCCTTTTGTTATAACCTCAAATAATAGTTCTAAATTACAAAAAAATCTTCAAAGTTACAAGGGAAATGGAAAACAAACATGAGCAAACTTGGATTGAGACATTTTATTTTGATTTATTTTAAATAAAAATCCTGTGCCTAAGTTTTCTGGCTCATGTTAAACAGCAGAACTCCACTGACTTACTGTTTTTGAGGATACAGCCTGGCAGAACTTAAATTCCACACAAATCCAAATTTTGTGATCTAAGTTACTCTAAAGAATTTTAGCTAAATTCCAACAAAAAAGAAAGAATAATTCCCTAGTAATTCAATGGTCTTTGTGATAGGTTGCACATATGCCCATTGGTCATAGCATATGGCATAAATGGTCAGATAGGAGTTTTTTAACCTTAGTAATGTGCACTAAGTATGCCCCCCCCACACACCGCCTCCTGTACATGGCAGTTATCCGCTACACAGGAGCACAGCACACCACACCACACCATTTTCGGCTCCTTTTAATTTTTAAGGACCCCTATTAAAAGACAAGCATAACATACAACAGCACAATTGCTCTAAGAGGAATGTGGAGTGTGATTGTCCATGTGGACACCAATTTCAGAGAACATTCAGTTGCTGGAAAGCGGATCTCCTTTCTGCTTTAAGTGACTGATCATATGTAGATTCACATTATAGATGACTCCCTGAAGTGTCTAGTTCCAGGATGCAACTACAGCGTTAGACACTACTATGCAGTGCCTACCTACTACCCCTGTAGTTAGACACTACAGGGGTTAGACACTTGGGTATAAGGCCTGGAAGACTGAATCATCAAGGCTATCCCACACCTACGTACATTTGGCAAATATAAAAACAGACCTCCGTAGCCTTGCAAGTTGGAACTTTGAGACACTTTTTCTCAGAAGTTATAAAGGCCATTTACATTCTCAAAGAGTATACGTGATTCTATAAGGAGGTTTCTATTTAACGCTATCATAGACTCAGGATACATCAACTATCTAATGAGATGCCTTTGGGCCTTGCAGTTTGCACTCTAGGGCTACTCCCATGGTAGAAATTAGTTGGAGTCTGCCAAAAGACAAATACCTGGATAATGACAAACCCTGTAAGTGTGCATGTCAGTCTTTTGAGGATTAGTGAGATCTGAGAAACAGATATTGGAAATATAACTTCCTGAGACATATAAGAATCAAAAAGTAACCTTAATCAGAGATTATAGTACAATCGTGTCCCAGAAGAAAGTCTGCTTTAATGCCTAGATCTCTCCAACTCTTCTGGCTGAGATATGGGCTAGCATTAAGGCTGTTTTAATGGACAGGTGAAGTAGAGACCACAGAATCACCAGGTGAAGTAGAGACCACAGAATCACAGGCTCAAATGATAACCCATTAGGGTAGTCAATACCAAATTCAAATTCCACTGTAGGATTTGGTAACTGAATTCCACAGTAGGGAGCGTGCCTAAAGGTATCAATGGCCTCAAAGGTATGAGGCCATTAATGACCTCACTTTGTTCTGAGCTTAATACGTGAGCTTGACTCACTCTTTAGATGGAGATAAAAACAGGCCAAAGAAAAACAAAATTAAATATAGTATAGAAAAAGGGCTCTCCTGAAATGAAAAGATGGCAGGCCTCAAAGAAGCAGCAGGCTCACAGCAGTCAAGAGTCACAGCATGAGAAATAACACTCTAGAATTAGCCAGATGACTGAAAGTCATTGTGAAGGAATATGCAATGATCCCTCACATCATGTGCATGATTTGTAGAGGAGGTATAGCAAATATGCTTCTGTGGGTACTGCTAAGGCTAGAAGTATCTGACTCGAGTGCTTGGGCATATGCTTGTGGAATGAATACACATACTCGCTCAGTGGAAAATAACTGATTCTGTTGTTCCAATTTGTCAGCTTAGCACCAAGGCAAAGCAGTATTTAGCTGGGCTGAAACGTATGAAAAAGGCCCACTTTTTTCCCCTCAAGGCGCAATGAAGAATGTGTGCGTCTGTTAAACTTACAACAAAGTTTGACCGTGGTTATTAGGGAATGCTAAATATCAGACTAGAGAACATATCAGAAATGCTTTTCCTTTCTGATTTCCAAAATGCTAAATTGCTTTCTTCTGAATAAACTTCATCAGAACTAAGTCTTATGGTAACAGTTGTAAACTGATACGTTAGAGGTAGTACTCTGTAACAAACAGACTGCACAGATGCAAATATCCATATCAGTAGGGAATATCAAACTAAGCACTTTCGGCATTACAAGTGCAAGTCATGACCTCACTGACTGAATAAGCATATTGCTCTAGCATAAGATGAATCATCTATCTGACATGCCACAGACCTTGAAAATACAGATAAGTCCACAATAAATTAAATGGACCTAAGCATACTACTTAAGCAACTCTTTGCCAAATGGATCTCTAAAACCTAAGTGAAAAATAAAATCTTTCCTCATATTGATTTCTTCCCTTTAACTTTCTCATATTATGTGTCTTCAGGCAGTATATCTGTGGCTTCTACAATGGAAAGTATTATCTTACCTTCACAGATACTTTTCACATCCTTTCTGTAATTTCATTACCTCTACTCTAGAGAGCACAGATTAGGGTTCCATTATATTTAAAGAAAAAGTCATGGGGAAAGGGATTAAAGGGGAAAATGATCCTGTTCCTCCCTAGACTGTTTTCCTTTAAAGCACTAATTATTTTTTAAAAAAATCCTTTTAAAACTGGACACCTACATTTGTCTTGTAAAAAGCCTTTTTCTGTCCTCTCACAATAA